TGTCAACTACTGGCACCTGACTATTACTACCACTCCTTTTCTTTTCTTTTTTTTTTATTAGCTTTGCCAAAAGTTTGAGTAGAAATTTGTGCAGCAGGTCACAAAAACCATGTGCCATTATTGGTGGCCTCAGCTAAGTATTGTCTGGGATTTGATATTTATTCTATAAGAAGAGGGTTTGATTGCACTCATAAGGAGCTGGTCTTTGAGATATGCAACTCAGAGATTTAGTAGCTTCATGCCAGCCTCCAGTGGTACATTCCCTTCTGTATGACCAATCAGGTGTTAGTGATGAGCCCAGTCAGCCATAGCCAGGTTTTCAAAGTTGGTACTATTAGATGCATACAGCATAAGCCATATTGTTCCTTCAGAAAGAACCCTTTTTGGGCTGCTGTCCTCAGGACAGTGTATGTGAGAGTGTTTTGTAGTTTCATGACATCTTTCGTGCATTGAATCACTCTTTTGGTGATGGAAAAATCACAGCAGAACAGCAAGAACTCCCAGGAGAGAATTTGCTGATAGTGAAATTTTGAAACAAGCAAGGATCTAGTCTCTTGGAACAGGCAAGACTCCACTGTTACCCACTAAGATGTAACTCTCACAAGGCTATCAAGTGAGCAACATGAAGGGTGGGCCCCAAGGCTTAGAAGTTATGGATAGGATCATGCTCAGTTGACTGGCTCTGGAGTCAAGGGACCCTCCTGTGCCAGGCCTGCATGATACTCCAGAGGAGAATGCAGTCTGTGAAAGACACCCTCTTGCTAGAGATTTCAGTTTATCTTTCCTTCGATACACAACAGTGGCTCTTGACCTATGTCAGAATCACCTGAAATGTTTGTTAGTGGTACATATTATTGGACTTCACTTTAAACAGTGTGTTCTCTGAGGTTGAGCCCAGGCAATGTTTTGTTTGTTGTTGTTGTGGTGGTGGTGGCGGTGGTGGTGGTTGACCGTTTGTTTGCTAATTTTATCTAGGGCTGGAGGAGTGTCTCAAGTGGTACTTAACTATCAAGAGCCCTCCCTGAGTTTAAAAGCTCTGTATCACCAAAGATCATGTACTTGGTTTTTTGTTCTCATGATGGTACTGGGAATGTGGCTTTTCTGCTCAAAGCTGGAGCTGTATCTGCCACTTGAACCACATCTCCATTTCCACACTTATTTTTTTAAATATAAATCAGCACTATACCTGAAACATATTAATTATATCTGTCTAGCTACATACAGACAAGCAGAGGCTATTTGTCCTTTGAATGAGTAGCTACCTCCTACTGCTAAATACAACAGGTTATATAAAAAGCCAACGTAGGATTCTGAAAGGTATTCCTCAAAAAAACTAGACATAGAACTTCCCTATGACCCAGCCATACCACTCTTGGGCATCTATCCAGATCGTTACAAGTCAGGATACTTTGAAGTATCTTGCACATTCATGTTCATTGCTGCAATATTCACTGTAGGCAAGTTATGGTAACAGCCCAGATGCCCTATAACAGATGAGTGGATCAAGAAAATGTTGTATATATACACAGTAGAATTTCACTCATCAATTAGAAAGAATATAATTATGTCATTTTCAGGGAAATGGCTGGACCTAGAACAAAGCATGCTAACTGAGGTAAGCCAAGCTCACAGAGACAAACGCCACATGTTTTCTCCCATATGTAGAATCTAGATTTAAAATGCAACTGAACTTGATAACTTACACAGGACTCTAGGTTTTCACACATAGTCAGACTAAAGGATATCCTTAGGGGAAGAACACAAAGGTGTGACTTCTCTGAACATTTAAAATACTATTTATGAAAGCATACTCCAGGAAATGGAAATGTGTTTTGTTGTTATTGTTGATGGTGATGGTGGTAGTGGTGTTTTGTTTTGTTTATTTTTTATAGGGACAAAGGAGGGTGCAGAAAGGGGGAAGGAAGGGTGAACAAATTCAATCTTGCTATTCAGTATACACTATGTGGAAAATGACTTGTGGGCAGGGATGGAAGGAGAAAAACTGAGAGAAAGCAAAGGAAGAGGTAACATTGCGCATAAAAAAGGAATGTACTCATTACCTGACTTATGAAATGGTAACTACTCTGTACAACACCTTAATAATACAAATAAAAGTATTTTTTAAAAAGATTCTAAAAGGTACAGGAGAGAAGACAGCCTGGCTAGGAACCCCAGAATCTGGGAATTGTATAGTTGTGAGTCCCCTGATTTTCTCTTTGGTTTAGGTATCCCAGACTCAGATTGATCAAGCTGGCAGTTAGATATGCAGCAGGAACAGACACAAAACCAGATACACTCTCTTTGGTCACAAGATGAACAAAGGGGCAGTGTAGCAAGGTAGACAGCTTGTAGGTGATAATCAACTTCCAGCCAACCAGCACCAAAAAACTGCCCCCCCTCCCTGCAACAGCCAGCATGTCTGAGTGGAACACTAGGCTTCCACTACAGCTAAGCCATAGGTGCTCTATCTATCCTCATTGGGTGGTGTCTGAGAAGAGCATCAAGACTTCCTCCCTTGCTTGCATATCTTCCCTATCTAACCCAAGTCATTCCAAGGAACCCAGACTTTTACCTCTGCCCAGTAACCGTGAGGGTGAGCAATCATGCCATAATGTATAGTGTCAGAAGACACTTGGAGACAGTGACAAGACACTCCTTTCCTTGACACCCAAGGGACATTAGTGGAAGCCTGCAACCAGGGGAACCATAACTGCCCCCATACCCTGCAGTGGCAAGCAGTCCCTTTCTTTTGTAGGTGTCAACAGAGCTGGAAAGAAAACCTGAATTTACTCTCCCCTGGTAGTGACAAGGTGATACTCTACCTCTCATGTGTGACTATTGTCACCGTATGATAGTTAAAACATAAAGCTTAAATAATATCTACAGTCTTAGAATAGTTAAAGGTCCTAGATTTTGATTGGAAAACCACACACAATCTCAGGTATGAAGAAAATCTCACCTTTCAGGCAAAAAGACAACAGACACCATCATGATGATAGAGATAGACGCAGGAGGATAGAGATGCTAGAATTAGCTGACAAAGATCTTGAAGTAACAGTCATAAAAATGCTTCCACAAACAATTACAAACTCTTTTGTTGTTTTTTTTTTTCTGTTTTTAGATGGCTATCATGACATTGCTCAGGCTGGTTTTGAACTCCTAGGCTTATGGGATCCTCCTGCCTCAGTCTCTGTGAGTGCTGGAGCTTTGGGGTTATGCTACCATACAAAGGAAGTAAAAAAAAAATAGAGTGTCTCAGCCAAGAAATTGAGGAAATAAAGGATTAAATGGAAATACTAGAACTAAAAACATTAATAGTTCAGATAAATTCAAAAGATGGATTCAACCAGAGATAGCTGTTGCTTAGTAAGCGTGGCTAACAGAATTGACTGTACAGGCAGAGTATGTTGTTATGACCACGAATGTGGCTTAATACTTGCCATCATTATATCTTGCTGTTTAAATAACTCCTTTGACATAATTGTGTTGTATATTTAAAATAGGTACCCACATAAAACATTTCAGTTCAAAGTAACACCATGGCTGGAACAAAGGGCCTGTATCCCTGTATGAGACCATATGTGAATCTGAGTCAGAGATGCAATTCATAGTACTAGGTTTTGAGGGAGATCTTAGCAATTGACATGTATACAAAAAAGTCAACTTGGGAAGCAGGAAGTTTAGAAAAACATGTCAAGTAAGGGATGTTTGAAAAACCTAGAAATGTTTACCTTGTGTGTTTATCTATCTGAAGGGGTTCTTACTTAGAGAAGGAATTGTTTTTCTTGTTCTGTGTTCTAAATAAGTTATTTAGAAATGCTAGTAGTTCCAGGAAAGCATTTTTAGAAAATAAATTTTAGTTATAGCTGAAATTTTATTGTCTGTGGAAGTGTTTGAATTAATTAACAATCAATCCTAGAAAGCCAGCCTATATCTACTTTCTGCATTGTGTTGAGTTTTCAGAGACTGAGTGGTGTGTAGGTGTGTGCATGCATATGTGTGTGTGTGTGGATGCATATCAGGTATACTTACTGTGTTTGTGTCAAGCTGCTGGCAAGGTGCTTCTGCCTGGCGTCACTCTTAAGGACCTGGACATAGTCTCTAGTATCCTCAATAATTCTCCCAGCTCTGGTATGTTTTGATATATTATGGCCATCCTATGAATTCTCTTGATGAAATCCACCTAACTAAAAGTGCTCATTAACTCAGCATGTACTTCATTGCTCTGACCTTTCTTGAGTCTACCTTTGATTGTACATTCTTGCTCGATTTTCCTGGATAGCACTGCTCTGTGACAAACACCAGTGGAGATGGAGCAGGAGTCCCTGTCTCAGCACCTGGAGATTGGACCTGGAGGGAATGTGGTTGGCTTCAGGACTTCTGGTTCTTCCCTTCCACATTGAGGTGCTGCTAACCTCCTCATGCACTATGCTTTGAATGGTCTCATCTCCATTCCTCTTCTCACCCCTCGCTGCTTGGGGAAAGAGGCAGGTCTTCTGTTCCAAAGAGGACAGGATCATAATCAAATGAGTATCTTCGTTCACTTACTTGGCTTGTGTAGAAATCATGTCCTGCACTTTAAAGGAGAGATTGGTATTAAAATTTCAGTGCATCTCACAGCATCCTCCACACATCATAAAGCCTTGTTTTTACCCCTTCTCTGTTTAATTCCTCCTTTTCCACTCCTCTGGAGTGATATGTAGATCTTTTTCTCCCTTGCAGTTTCTCTAAGAAATTTTGATTTAGAATCCAAGCCTCCTTGCCCCTTCCCCTCGCCCTGTGTCCTGCAGAGACATTTTCCTAAAGTGCTTAGAGAAAATTGATTATACCAGACATGTGACATTTTTCATTTGTCTTTTTTTAGCAATCAGGTCCCAGCCTCTTAGAGGGAAAAAGGCCAGAAGCGAAATGCATGTGTTTGCATTAGTAGTTCAATTTATGTCCTGGATCTATACTGAGGACAAGCCTAACTTATTCATTTACAGCTTCTTTTATTGCAGAAAAAGGAGTGGACGTGGGATGAAAACAAGATGCTGGTGATGCAGGACCCTATTTACAGGTAAGAGTCCAGCCCAGTGCTCAGGAGGATGCTGAGTCCCAGGATTCTTCGGCTGTCCCCCAGAGCCATCTGGTATGTCAGATGGATATAAATAAACCTCTACTGCTTGTCCTTTCATAGGCCTGCTATTTCTATAGATATAAGTACAAGAACTATTCTGCCTTATCTTTAAGATTGAAAGGAAAGTTTTTCTGGCCATTAATTGCCCTATTTAAGGGAACTATGAAGAATTTCTTCTTGGTTATTAATCTAGATCTCTGAGTTGTAATTGGAGAATTGTCCTAACTGAAATTCCATAATAGTTCATAATGAAGAGTGAGATAACTGAATTAGCCCATTCTCCCATGCTACAATTTCCGTTGTCGTCGTCTCTTCCACCTTTTAGAGCATAGGCACATGCTCAATTTCCAGTGCTATATCTATGCCCAATCTCCAGTGCTATGACCTGAATGTTAGGTTTTTTCAAAATTTGTATGTTGAAATGTTTTTTGGTTTGGAATTGGTGTGTGTATGTGTGTGTTTGTTTTTGTGGGTATAGAGGTTTGAACTCACAACTTCAAGCTTTCTCAGCTTTCTTGGCTGGCATTCTTGAGACATACCACTTTGGCTTTTTTCTAGTTATTTTGAAAAAGGAATGTCATGAGCTTTTCTTCTCATGTTAGACTCAAACTATGATCTTGGGCGTTAGCCACCTGGCCTAGCTGGTGTTAAAATCTTCAGTAGTCAAGCTGATAATGTTAGAAGGTGGAGTTCTCAGGTGATTAGGCTGTGAGGATAGATCTTTGTATTTGAGGTAAGGATCCTTATAAAGGAGTGGGGCCCTCCATAGCTTGCCTTTTTCAAAAGCCATGTGAACACTGCTGGTGGGCACCATTTATAACCCAGAAAGTGGGCTTTCATCAGATACTGAAGCTTCTGGTCCTTTTTTCTTGGACCTCCATGCCTTCAGAAATTTGAGAAATAAGCTGGGCACTGGTGTCTCACGCCTGTAATCCTAGCTACTCAGGAGGCTGAGATCTGAGGATCACAGTTCCAAACCAGCCTGGGCAGGAAACTCCATGAGACTCTTATCTCCAATAAACCACTAGAAAACTGGAAGTGGTGCTGTGTCTCAAGTGGTCGAGATCTCACCTTGAGCTGAAGAGCCCAAGGAAAGTGCCCAAGCCCAGAGTTCAAGCCCCACAACCAACAAAAAAAAAATTTTTGAGAAATAAATTTATATTGTTATGAGCCACTACTTTATGATATTTTTAATCCATGCTGAGGAGCTGATTTCAGTGAGTGAGATTGATATGATTTCTATACATGTTGGATGGCTGCCATCCTAACAACAGCATACGATAAGCTACAGTTTTCTTGGGAAACATGACAGTACCTGGCATCATGGATGTCATTCTTCTGTATTGGATTTTTACAGCCTGAGACCCACCCTACCTCTCCTTGTTTCATTCACTGGATGAATGGCTGATCTTTGGAAATTTAGAGACCTAAGTTAAGGTTTACTTTTAGTTCCCTCTCAAATTATTGCCATGCCTTTGTTGCCAAAGTGGATAAGGATTGGAATTCAGCTGTGAAGTTGGTATTATGGTGGTTCTGCCTTTGAATGGAATTTCCCGTTCATTCAGATAAGCAGCAAGTAGTCTTCTGGGTCATTTGGATTACTGAAGTGATTGGTCCTTAGTTCTTGGGGAGTTTTGGTCCAGTGTGGAAACAGACACTGAATATGTCATTGTAGTACTGACAGGCTGAATTTCTTCCTATGTTCCAGTTGTACTTTCAGTGTTTCTTGAAATTATTTTAATGTGTTTCTGGTATGCACATATGAGTGTATCCTTTTAATATGTCACTCTTGACACTGGACTGCAAGACTCTTTTTTTAAATCCTTTTATTATTCTTTTTTAACACTGGACTGCAAGATTCTTGAAGGGGAGAACTTTCCCTGTTCACCAAGCCCATGCCTAGCCCATTGAAGCATTTAAAAAGTGTGCAATGGCTAAACACTGTGGATTGTGCCTGTTATCCTAGCTACTCAGCAAGTGGAGATGAATCATGGTTTGAAGCCAGCCCAGGTAGGAAAGTCCATGAGACTTATCTTAAATTAACCACCTAAAAATTGGAAGTGGATCTGTGGCTCAAAGTGATACAGTGCAGCCTTGAGCAAAAAAGCTCTTATTTAGTGCCCAAGATAAATATATTGAAACATATCTGAAAATTAACATAAATTATGGTGATTCACAAGGGGGAACAATTACTTTCTACTTGAGTGATGAAAAAACTTTTTAAGAAATATATTTTCTCAGAACTGGGTTTGAAGAATATAAACAAACCTCTCACCTGCATTTTATAGAAAGGAAAGTTTCTGTTGTTTTTTTTTAAAAACACAAAAATAACATTGGCATCGTGTGTGTGTGTGTGTGTGTGTGTGTGTGTGTGTGTGTATCTTCCATATATATATATGTGTGTGTGTATAATGTTTTTTGTAGTTTTTCTAATTGTGAAAATACCATACAGAGGGGTTACAATTATGTGAGCAAGGTAATGAGTACATTTCTTATCAAGCATTGTTGCCTCCTCCTTTGTTTCCCCTTCCCATCTCATCCCATCTCCCCTCCCATGCCTACCCCCACCAGCCACCCCCGTTTCCCCCTCTTGCACCAAAGTTGTAAAGTTCGTTTTTTGACATAATGTCTTGTACATCTTATTGCTGCAATGGGTCCACCTGTATCCCTATTTAAACAATTTGTTTTTTCCTTTCCCCTCCCCAAATTATATCAGCATCAAATACAGTGAAAACAGGAGTTACGCCCTGCCGGCAGAACATACAAAGCAACAGAGAAATCAATTTTATAAATATGTTAGAAACAATAGCAAGAAATAAAAAAAATTTGAGTCCTTATCTTGGGCTTCATTTCGCCTAACATCAACTTAGCTGACCTTTGTTGCTTGTCCCAGACATATACTAGTTATTGCAAATAAGGGAAAACATGGGACCTATGTTTCTTTGGGCTTGGCTTACTTCACTTAATATAACTTTTTCCAAGTCTTTCCATTTTCTAACAAATGGGGGCAATGTCTTTTTTTTTATGGAGGCATAGAATTCCATTGTGTATATATACCACATTTTCTAGATCCGTTCATCTACTGAGGGCCATCTGGGTCAGTTCCATATTTTAGCTATGGTAAATAATGCTGCAACAAACACAGTTGTGCTGGTAACTTTAGTATGATCTTGTTTGTTAACATTTGGGTAAATGCCCAAAAGTGGGATTGCTGGGTCATAGGGGAGCTCTATGTGGAGTCTTTTGAGGAACCTCCATACTGCTTCCCAAAGTGGTTGAACAAGTTTACATTCCCATCAATAATGCAGTAGTTCCCTTCTGTCCACATCCCTTCCAGCATCTGTTGTTATTAGAGTTCTTAATTATAACCATTCTAACTGGGGTGAGGTGGTATCTCAATGTTGTTTTGATTTGCATTTCTTTTATGGCTAGGGAAGTTGAGCATTTCTTCATGTGTCTATTGGCCATCCTTCTTTCCTCTTTAGAGAAGTTTCTCTGTAAGTCTTTAGCCCATTTTTTAAATGGGCAGTTGTTTCTTTGAGGATTTGTTGTTGGGGGATTTAAGTTTTTGAGTTCCAGGTATATTTTAGATATGAGACCCTTGTTTGTTGTATAGCTAGTGAAGATCTTCTTCCAGTCCGTGGGCTTTCTATTCATCTTGCTAGCTATGTCCTTTGCCATGCAGAAGCTCTGCAATTTCATGCAATCCCATTTGTCCAACCTTTCTTTGGTTTGTTGTGTTTCTGGGTCTCTATTAAGAAAATTTCGGCCTGTGCCAAGGAGACCTAGGGTTTCTCCTATTCCATCCTGTAATGTTTTCAGGGTGTCTGCTTTGACTCCAAGGTCTTTGATTCATTTGGAGTTGATTCTGGTGTAGGGTGATATAAAAGGATCTAGCTTTAATTTTCTACAGATGATTAACTAATTTTGCCAGCACCATTTACTGAAGAGGCTTTCTTCCATTCTATTTTTTTTTAGCTCCCTTATTGAAGATTAGGTGGCTATAGGTCTGTGGGTTCATTTCTGGGTTTTCAATTCTATTCCATTGGTCCTCAGGTCTGTTCTTGTGCCAGTACCAAGCTGTTTTGATTACTATGGCTTTGCTGTAGAGTTTGAAATTTGGTATTGATATTCCTCCAGCACTGTTCTTTCTGTTAAGGATCGTTTTTGCTATTGAGGATCTTTTATTGTTCCATATGAATTTTTGGATTGCCTCTTCTACTTCCCTGAAGAATGAGGTTGGAATATTGATAGGTATCACATTGAATTTGTAGATAGCTTTGGGAAGTATTGCCATTTTTACTATGTTGATCCTTCCAGTCCAGGAGCATGGGAGTTTTTGTAACTTTCTAAGTTCTGTTTTGATTTCCTTTTTCAGATTTTTAAAGTTTTCATCATAAAGGTCCTTCTCTTCTTTGGTTAAGTTAATTCCTAGGTATTTTACTTTTTGTCAGGCTATTACAAATGGAGTTTCCTGATTTCAGCCACGCTTTTCTCATTGTTGGCATATAGAAAAGCCATTGATTTTTGAGGGTTAATTTTATGCCCTGCTACTTTGCCAAAGTTTTGAATCAGCTTGAGTAACTTGGGAGTGGAGGCCATGGGATTCTTTAAATACAAGATCATGTCATCTGTAAAGAGGAAGAGTTTTACTTCATCTTTCTCTATTTGGATCCCTTTTATGTTTGCATCTTGTCTTATTGCTGTAGCTAGGCATTCTGATACTAAATTGAAGAGTAGTAGGGAGAGTGGACATCCTTGTCTCATTCCTGAGTTAAGAGGAAATGGCTTTAGTTTTTCACCATTGAGTATAATGCTGGCTGTAGGTTTTTCATATACAGCCTTTATTGTATTGAGGAATGTTCCCTGGATTCCTAGTTTTTCCAGTACCTTCATCATAAAGGGCTGTTTTGTCAAATGCTTTTGCTGTATCTATTGAG